ATCCTCCCACAACTCATCTGGCTTTCGCTCATTAGTGTTCAAAGCCTCAAACCTGTTCCTGAGATGGTTCTGAAATTCAGGTGGGATAGACTCAAAGTTATATTTTGGTTGCCTTGGATTTGGTTTAATTTTCCTCAGCTTCAGCTTGAATTTGCATATGAGTAGTTGGTGGTCTGTTCCACAATCAGCTCCTTCAATATCAGCTGTGAAAAAATTGATAAATGAGATTATAAAATTCTTTTATAAGACTCTAATCAATCCAGGCCATTGTCTTCGCAATTATTTGCTATGCATCAGAGCTGTACAGTGACTAAGGATGACAGAAGAAAAATCGATGCCTTCATGTTGTGGTGCTGGATAAGAGTCTTAAACATACCATGGACTGTCAAGAAAACAAATAGGTCTGCTTTCGAGATGGTGAAACCAAGCTTCCTAACATACTTTGTGCACGTGGTCAGGAGGGACCGGTCTTCGGAGAAGGACATCATGCTTGGAATGGTGGAGTGACAGCACAAGACAGGAAGATCCAGATGAGATGGATTGAGACAGTTAACACGGACTATGGGGGTTGGTGTGTTGGAATTAGTAAGACTGGCTCAGGACAGGGCAGGGTTCAGAGCTGCTGTACATAAGCTCAGGCGACTGATAACACACAAGAGCAACAACAATGCTAGCAGCTCTGGTGGCGGCGTGATCCGTAGTGGGTTGCGCTCTCACCCAACTGAAGCGCCTCTGGCGGTTCTAATCAGTAGCGGCTCTGCTCTGAGGGAGAAAAAAGTTCAGTCTCCTTCGCAGCCTCCCCAAAGCCGCTGGAAGGTTGGCTACGGGGTCGTTCCAATTTGATGGCAATGAGATTTTATGAGCCTTAGCTGCTATTGTTTTCTACTTCACGGAGGGTAGCTGTGAGTTGAAATAGACTTGATGCCGTTGTTTTGACCCAACTAAAAAATCTGATTGGAAGCAAGAGTGGCATTCACTTCCTAAACAACATGCCTCAGAAACTCTATGAAATTTGAGAAATGACGATAGTTCTATTGAAAGGCTTCAGGTCTTTTGTTCATAGTATTCCTGAGTCATGCTCAACTCGACGGCAATCAATAAGAAGAAACCTGGAGGAGACGCAATTCTTAAGATTAAAGCTCTTTGGTGGGGAGGGAAGTCTGCGTGCTGGCGATGAAGTAGGGCCACTGGCCCTCTCATCTACTGTTGGGAGCACAAACTGCTACAGCCACTTTGGAAAACAGTTTGACGTTAGTGTTGCGCATAATGCATCAACCTGCCAAACAAAAGTTGAGCAGTTCATATCTATCACGTATCAGGAAAGCCATTAACAGTCTCCTCTCATTGATATTTACAGCCTTGGAAACCTATGGTCAGTCACTATGAGTGAGAATCTACTTATGACAATGAGTTGTGGAGTTTGTGGAGTTTTTTAGTAAAAATATAAAGTATACAGATCTTTGACCTATCAGGTTATTAGAGGATGTATATGAATAGTCATAGCCCCAGTGTTTGTAAAAACAAAGAATTGGCATTTTAATTTCAGGTATATTAAGTGAAAAGCAAGTCACAATATATAGACTTGACAATTTTATAAAGTCCAAAATTTATTGTTATGTACCGTCAAATCTCCTGCGACTCATAGCAACCCTATGTACAATAGCTCTGAACTCTGTCCTATCCTGAGTCAGTCTCACTGACTCTGACACACCTAATAGCATTGCCGCAGTTATTATATCAGTCCATTATTGCTGTTGAAGTGTGCTGTTCCATAGGCTCCAATTTACTGTAAATGTCATGTATAGCAGAAGAATATACTTCCTAGTCTTGTACTACTGTCCTCATAATGTTTATAATATTTGAGATATTGTTTCAGCCACTGTATCAGTTCATCTTCTTGAGGCTCTTCCTCATTTTCACTGACTCTCAATCAAACAAGATGCCTTTCTCCACAGACTGGTCCCTCCCAGAAACATATCCAAAGTACAAGTGACAGGCCTTGCGCTCTTTGCTTCTAGGGAGCCTTTCTATTTCCAGTGAACCATCCTTGCTTCCAGGGAGCCCATAAACTAATCAATAGTATAATGGATTAATTATAATATAGTTATAATTAATTATAATATAATGGTTTGCTTTATTGCAATGAAAGCAATTAGACTGTGACTATACGAAGTATATTAGGGTGCTCTGGTGGCGTAGTGGACAAGGAGTTGCACTGCCAGTTCAAAGTCAGGCAGTTCAAATTAACCAGCTGCTCAACGGGAAAAAGAGAGACACTTTTCTTCCATGTGATTTGTTGTTGTTGTTAGATGCCATTGAGTCAACTACAACATATACTGCCTCTGTGGACAATGGATGTGAACCTTGCCCTAACCTAAACATCCTTATCATCTCTGATATACCAAAGCTCATTGTTACAATCACTGTGTCAATCCATCTTGTTGAAGTCTTCCTCTCTTTCTCTAATTATTCATCTTTCCACGTATGATGTCTTTTTCTGGGAACTGGCCCTTCCTGAAAACATGTCCAAAGTTAAGGAGAACCCTCATTGCACTTCCTCTAATACAGACTTGTTGGCTCTTTTGGCAGTCCACAGGATGTTCAGTACTCTTCTCCACACCACAACTCAAAGGCATCATCAATTCTTCTGTCATCCTTATTCATTGTCAGACTGTCAGATGTTTAGGAAGTAATTAAAAAGACCACGATTAGATCAGGTGCACTTTAGTCTTTAAACTGACATTG